TTACAAACACTAAGATTGGGCCGATGCATCCAGTGCTCGTTTCCTGTCGATGATCCTTCGCATCGAACCTTCCATGATTCCCAGAGGCTCGATGTATGGAACTGTTACCATATGCGGGTAGCCTTTCCATACATGAATAGTGAACAATAGTGGTTAATGATGGTTAATAATGGTTAATGATGGATAATAATGGTTAATGATGGTTAATAATGGTTATAGTAACCCTTTCACATGGAGCATATGTGCTCACTTTCCAAACACCCCATGCTGAAAGAGCGCTTCGTTTGAAGAAGTTGGATCACAAACTACGAAAGATGGGTCATGCCTGACCACATGCAGGACGTTTTGTACAGTTGCAGGGTACGTGATTGTCACGTGTTTCTGGCTCTTGGCCATTTCTCTTCTCACCCACTAGTCTCTTCGCCCGCTTTTGGCCAGCTCGGGATGTGGCATCGTGTCCGCCAGGAGTGAGTCAAAAGATGGATTATAATTTATCAATGATTATACAATTATATACCCATATTGGGGGATGGTCATCAGTCCTTGAACATATGATATAATTGCCCATAATGTTTGGATTCCCATTGAATGGAAGGGATGACCACAACCCATTAATCTCATCTTTTGACCAGAGCACATATGGGGTTTCTTCCCTGAGCAGAGATTCTTATGTCGCAAGGAGCGTCGCTTGCTGAAACGCCGGCAGCTCGCTGCGTCCTTGGTGGACGGATCGTATCTTGGCGCAGCGGACGGTGCCAGCCAAAAAACACTGTGGGGTTGATGGATTTTGGATGATTTGAGATGATTTCAGATAGTGATTTGCTTGGTTGTCCAGTGAAGAACATGTTCCCCAAGTCCTGGTTAGATGAGCAAGACTGGGCCTCATCTTCGAGGAGGGTTCCGAAATTGACCTACTTTTCATGTTGTTGTGGCAGAGGACCCTCTTGACTAGCGATACGCAGATGCCATTCGGGCCTGGCTATTTCCGGTTCACTAGCTGCGACGCTTCTTGTATTGCTGGCAAAAGTGATCACTGGATCACGTGTTTACCATGTGCAGATGCTAGCCAACAGACCTATAGAAATTTACATGAGAAGGGGATTTGACCAACCGAACTGGGAACTTAACCGCAAAGTTTTCTTCCAGCTGGTGGTTCTGCTGGTTCGATTGCTATTTCGGTGTTGGTCAAAGGTCACTCGTGAATCGCGGACGTCCTGGTAAGTCCCAGGTAAACGCTCTGATGCAAGCACGCATAACCGTAATTGGACTCCAGTGTTGGTTTGTATGCTCCATGATGGCTGTTGGCAGGCTGTTGTGGCAAAAGTTCCATCAGACAATTCACATGTCAGTTGTCTTTTTTAGTTTTTTCACCCACTTGCCATGAAACTCCCATGTTGAAGGCATTCATGGGAATAACTATGGCATTTCATTTCTTTAAACATGTTCCGTCCAACCCAGACGTTGCGCTCCACACTCACAATCATCATCGTCATCATCATCATCATCATAATCATAATCATCATCATCATCATCATCATCATCATCACCAGTGTCAACTCATGTGGCATGGGGTAATACCATCAACTACTATGTTTTGTACTCAAAAGGGATCAAACATCCGCCACCCCCTATGACAAATATGTTGAATGGTGTGTTCATATCAACTTATCTTCATCAGGGATCAACAAATCCACCACCCATCTGACAAATATGTTGAATAAGGAATAACATCAACTTATCTTCATAAGGGATCAAAAAGTCCACCACTGCCTTTGACAAATTTGCTGAATCTGAAAATAGCATCAACATATCTTCATAAGGGATGAAGCTGAAGATGATGATGAAGATGATGATGATGATTATTATTATTATTATGATGATGATGATTGTGATGATGATGGTGGTGGTGGTGGTGGTCGTGGTGGTGGTGGTGGTGTTGGTGATGATCATGGATCACATATACATTTGCATATTGAAAGTCCGCCGACATGGCATTCCAAAAATACGCAACCCTCCGCAATTCTGGCGCGGGGCAACGTCAGGGCTGCACCGAACATGTTTTAACATGTTTTAACATGTTTTAACCCCCGGGGAAGGCTTGGGATATCTTGATATATTATATATATAATATAACAGTATACCCCTACAAGGTGGGGTCCCAAATGCTTCCGGTTTTGAAGTTTCTTCTGTGACTACCCAACAAAAATTGATGACACAGAGTTGTGGATTCGGGTTTGAGCGCATTAGTTTTTGAAATTGCCTATATCATAATTGCGCACAGGTAGCGCAAAAATGCGCACAAGTTGCACCTTGTCTTTTGAAGATTTGCTTGAGGAACTGCAAAAAACATTAAAAATAGTGCCGTTTCAAATACGATTGCGGGTGTCTCAAAAACGTAGACAATTTGATATGTGTTTCATCGTTTTTAAAGAAATTTAGAACGAAACCCTGCGGAGGGGTGTTTTTTGTAGCACAAATGATGGTCCAGGTATACTTGGAAGATCTTGGAAGTGCAGTTCCAGTTATAGGTGGATATACAAGCTTGTTGGTGTACCAACTTATGGTGCTTATTTCGCCATGGTTATACCCATAAGATTAACCTCTGGCCTGCAATCAGAAGTATTAGATGGTTCATGATATGTCCTATTATATCCCCTACTCATTATGTCCCATTAAATCACTAGTTATGTTGGTTATATCCTCCATAAATCCTATGGTAATTGTGGCATTTAGGAAGCAACGAACCAAGCAGTAAGCAGCGCTGCCGTGCTGTGTTCAGGTCACGCTTGGGCCAGCAAATGCTGCTGAACCAAACGTGGCTGGGACAGAAACAACTTGAGGTTAGAGCGACCTTTATTTGGAAAACATGTTAATAATGGTCGATTACGTAATTTACAATGTGATCAATCATGTAGCTAATAATATGTTTAATAATATTGTTTTTACAATAATTCCAACATCGAAAGTTTTTCATAGGGACAAATGGTACCACCATTTTGGATATTTTGCGGTTGTCCTATGTTGTCCCCTGATTTTTTGTGGAACCAGTTCTGACTCTGGAGGTTTTCCAAGAAAATGAGGCTACCCCAATAGCTGGATGGTTTATAAGTTTTTTTTTTTTATGGATGACTTGGGGGTACGTCCATTTTCGGAAATCACTATCTGACTAAGTAGACTCTATTGAATAAACTGTATGTTAAGTTGTGTTTCTTTGCAGTACCGCCTCCAAAGTATATCCCTGATTTAGGTCCCCACATTCGCGACATTGTAAATCATAGCGCCTTATCATGACCTGTTGCTTGCTCTTTAGCGACCCCAAGCCGGATTCGAAGTCAACCCAGACATCAGACATCGACTTTGTGTAGTAACAGTGTAATGTTTGCGGACATGTTTGGGTACGGCTCATGTGGCCACAGGCCAATTTGTTTCTCGATGTTCCCTACCTTGAATGGTCCCCGAGGTTGGTTGACTGCTTTGCTAGGACAACCTAATGGACGTGTTGCATTGGACTAGACTTGTTGCATAGCTGTCCTAACTTTTTAGCTTGAGGGTACGGTACGACCATCCTCGATCGATTTCCTACACGACTAGCTCGATTATATACTTAGTCTAGTATATATATATATAATTATATAATTATATATATGCACATAACATATCAGAATATGCTGTATATCAATTGGCTATTCATTTAGGACTTAGGATAACATATTGCATTCAAACTGAGATGGAGCCTGTCACACCACAGCGTAGGCCAACAGCCTCAGGTTGTTTGCTTGGTCTGGCCTTGCACATAACAGCAAGGCGCCTTGACACTCGCTGGGAACCAACCGGTTTCCGTTGGGTGGACCTTTCATTGCCCAAGACTTATCCAATACCGGTTTGGTTGTTAGATTTCCCTTGGTGAAATTATCTAAATGCAACTTTAGATCATCTTCAGTGTTGGTTTGTTGAATTTCCTTTTCTGTTGGGTTGTTAACAATTGTACTTGTGTCGGATTGTCAAAGTTTGTTTGGTTTAGATTGAACCTCATGTTTTTTATCGTAATTTCTATCACTCTGTGACGCTTTCCTTACTGTTTCAGGGCAAAACAAAGGACACGTTCTATTATCCCATATATATCTGGTTGAACCCTTGGTTTTGCCATGTGTGGATGTCTTGTTTTTCATGGTCTTTATTTTTCATTTACTATATATATATAGGGTAGAGGCCTGAGGTTCCCCGGAAGGCAATTGAAGTTCATTGTTGTCAACTTTGAAACATGTCATTGTTCACTGTGTTTTAAAGTGTTTTGTGTTCTTCCCATAACTTGAGAGCACAAGGAATCAGTTCAACACTGGGATATGTTGTCCTCTCTTTGAGTGTTTTTTGTTTTGTTCATCTTTTTTAGATTATTCAATTCATTTTATGTTTGTAGATTCCATAGATAGGAATTGCGTGTTTCGTGGAATTTCAGGTTTCTTTCGATTGACATAAACATGTCATAATTCTCCATGGGCGAAATGCACATGATGTTTTTTCTCTTCGCATCCACAAAGCAACAACATCTTCCACATAACAAATTATTCAACGTAACAATAACTGCAACACAACAACATCTTCAACGTAAAACAAATATTCAACGTAACAACATCTTCAGCGTAACAAAATCTTCAACGTAACAACATCTTCAACGTAACAAAATCTTCAACGTAACAACATGTGCAACGCAACAGCAACTTCTCATGACGCAATGCAATGAAAGTTAACATCCCCCCACCCCCATCTGTATGCAACAACGAAGACTAACGTAACAACATCTTCTGATGACACAATGCAATGTACGTTTACATCCCCCCCCCACCAACCCCAACCCCCATCTGTATGCAACAACGAATATTAACGTAACAACCTCTTCTGATGACGCCATGCAATGAACGCTAACATCCCCCCCATCTGTATGCTTATATCTAGCTCTCAAGGTTCTGCCGTGCTCCGGGAACCTCAAGCCTCTCCCCTATATATATATATATGTGTGTGTGTGTATTACTCTCTCTCTCTCTCTCTGTGTATTTATATATATATATATGTATTACTCTCTCTCTCTCTGTATTTATATATATATATATGTGTGTAATATATTTACATACGTATAATATACCCACGGAGTAATATGACTCATACATAATATATATGCACCTACACAAAAAAAATACATGCAGCATCTATATCTATATGTTTTCCCCCAAAAGAGGCATATTCCCGTGAATTCCATGTGTTTAGCAAACTTGTGCGTCACCAGGTGGCGGACTGGGCCAAGCGCACTGCCCACGCGCAAAGTGCCAAGGCGGTGCTGTCCTCGGCGACTAAGCAAGAAAGGGAGGCGGGAAGATTCTTTTCCCCACCTGCCAGGAAAGGGTCTCTAGATTTTATCACACGCTTGCCTGCGTCTTCTCCTCTTCTCCTCTTCTCCCCCTCATCCTCAAACGCGAGCTCCAGATCTCAGTGTGGGCACTGCCAAGCCTCCACTGCGAGCTCCAAATCTCATTGGCACTGCCGGACCTCAACAGCGAGCTCCAGATCTCAGTGGGCACTGCCGGACCTCAACAGCGAACCACAGATCTCAGTGGGCACTGCCGGACCTCAACAGCGAGCTCCAGATCTCACTGGGCACTGCCGGACCTCAACGGCGAGCTCCAGATCTCAGTGGGCACTGCCGGACCTCAACAGCGAGCTCCAGATCTCCGTGGGCACTGCCGGACCTCAACAGCAAGCTCCAGAGGGCCTCAACCACGAGCTCCAGATCTCAGTTGGCACTGCCGGGCCTCAACAGCGAGCTCCAGATCTCAGTGGAACTGCCGGGCTTCAACTGTGAGCTCCAGATCTCAGTCTGGGCAATGCCACACCTCAACAGCGAGCGCCAGATCTCAGTGGGCACTGCCGGACTTCAATAGCGAGCTCCAGATCTCAGTGGGCACTGCCGGGCCTCAACTGCGAGCTCCAGATCTCAGTGGGCACTTCCTGACCTCAACAGCGAGCTCCAGATCTCAGTGGGCACTTCCGGACCTCAACAGCGAGCGCCAGATCTCCGTGGGCACTGCCGGACCTCAACGGCGAGCTCCAGATCTAAGTGGGCACTGCCGGACCTCAACAGCGAGCGCCAGTTCTCAGTGGGCACTGCTGGACCTCAACCGAGCTCCAGATCTAAGTGGGCATTGCCGGACCTCAACAGTGAGCGCCAGATCTCAGTGGGCAATGCTGGACTTCAACCGAACTCCATATCTCAGTGGGCACTTCCGGACCTCAACGGCGAGCGCCGGATCTCCGTGGGCACTGCCGGACCTCAACGGCGAGCTCCAGATCTCAGTGGGCACTTCCGGACCTCAACGGCGAGCGCCAGATCTCAGTGGGCACTGCTGGACCTCAACAGCGAGCTCCAGTTCCCAGGTCTCAGTGGGCACTGCTGGACCTCAACCGAGCTCCATATCGCAGTGGGCATGACAGAGTGCCAGAAAGAATGTCAGAATAGATGCCAGATAGACTGTCAAAGTTTATGCCATAACGAATGTCAGATAGTACTTCCAGTATGTCACAGAAACTGTGTCAGAATAGTGTTTCAGGGTGGGGACCGCTTGAAGAAAGTATTTTTTGATAGCGAAATTTGCAGTAGCCAACCAAACTTGTGTTTTTTCATGGACCCTGGGAGGGGTAAGGGGGGGGTGTAAGTAGCTTATCATATAAAGGTTTATTAGGGGCTTATGTGTAAGGCCCTTTTTAGAAGCTTAATAAAATCTTAATAAGCGCTTATTAGAAAGTCAATAGATGCTTATCCGTTAAGCTCTGAACAAGGCTTGATTAAGTCTTCAGCCAAGGAGCCTAGGACCAAGGTATGGGAGAGTCTGCGGAGGGGAAGGGCCTGAGGAGGGTCTGGGAAGGTTTGGGTGAGGATCGGAGGGTGGTTAGGGACGTTGGGGGTTGGGGGGATTTTTGATGTTTTTTTTTTGGGGGGGTAGGGTAAATTAGGTTGGGAAACAGGCTTATCCAAGGCTTATCCAAGGCTTATCCTTTAAGCCCTGGATAAGCCCTTAATGAGCCCTTAATAAGCCCTTAATAAGCCCTTATCAGTTTTCAACCAACCCTGAACAAACCTTGGATAAGGATCTCTTGTTTCATTCATGGTTGGACCAGGGAATAAAGACAGTTTTCCCTGGCGCTGGGGATATCTGATAAGCCCTTATTAGGCTCTTATATGATAAGCTACTGCCCCCCCTTACCCCCCCCCAGGGTTCCATGATTTTTGAGTGAATTTAACGAAGAAAAATTGTCATGAAACCAGCAAGAAGGCTGATTTTACAACCAAAAACAATGGAATTCAAAACAGACGTGGTTTTATATGGTTTTACCAGAAGCATGGGTGAATTAGTGAGAGATGGGAGATGGGATGTTGTTTTCATCCGTAAACCTGAGAATCATGGTGACTTAGCCCTCGAAAATGAGGATTGAACCATCTGAAACTAGTTAACCATCAACGAATTTGATTTACTCTTGTTAAATTTGGTTGAACAGGAACACCTTCCATTTTTGGGTCGATATTCTTGGATATTGTGGGGTTTGATTGATTTTGTTTGTTTTGTGGGATGATGGCCATGAAAATTGGATTTGTCAGAACATATCAATCAATGGGATCAACATCAGCGGGATGAATCCATGCTTGATTGAATCGGAGGTTTATGCGGTTTGATCATGTTTGACCAGGATATGGTTACATATGTAAAAATACAAATGTGTTAACGTCATATAGAGAATTGTATTTCTTTGCCCAAAACAAATGGTACACAATTCGACGCGGTCCACCAAACGTCTCAAAGAATCAGATTCCGCAGAAATGACTTTGGCCAAGCAAACGGCCACAAGATCAACCGAACCAGAATGCAAAAATCAGCTTAGCCAACACATACTGTATGGGTAATTTGCTTTGACGTTCAAGAAAACGATGTATTCACACTGATAATTCCCTTTCTTCAAATTGTGTCAACGTGGTTTCTCATGACTTTTCTCAGCTGCACAGATCTTGAAAGGTGACCTTGATGAATCCCACGGGGATTTTCTCAGCACCAAAGGTGAACAGCTACATGGACTGGCGCGAGGACGATTGGAACTTCCACCTGAATGGATTCACATTTGAGCGTGGAATTTTTCAAAAGCGAAAACCTGTGGTGCTGAAGTTTTCCAGGGTCCAGGACGCATCCTGGCAACCATTTCAATTGCATGTGGCTCGCTGCTCCAAATGGGGAAAAGGCGTTGATCGCGCCATGCGTTCGGGTCGCACCAAAGAGCAGGTGCGCCAATAAACAAACTTCAGAAAACTCCAGGCAGTGAAGGATTCCAGGTTGCAGGTTCCCACTGATCGGGAGATTGCCTTTCAGCGCATCGCCGGCTCCATGCAGGTCGCGTGATGTTGCGTAACCTCTTTAAATACTTCTTAAAAGCGATCATATCAGGGATGCTGGGTGAACGTAACTTGATTTCGCACCCGCTGGAAACTTAGTTGCCCACCTGGAAACATTTCGTGAGGAAAAATGGATCTTACCAAGGTGGGCCGGAAATTGGCGAAATCGAAACTTGGAATGTGCCAGGCAATGTCCGTCGAAAACCTTTGTTGGAGGAATTTGTTTTTTGTTTTTTTTTTGCATGTTAATGACCATACATTACATGTAAAACATTGTGGATGTACATGGTCCCTTTTCTTTGAAATGGTTTCTTGCACTGTGATGAATTTGTGTTTATTTGTTATGGTGGTTTGCAACGGTTTTGCTTGTCCAGTCCCTGTACTTGGGAGGATTCAAACACGAGAGCGAGGTTCAGAAATCACTTGATCCTAACTCTGACTGTACGATTGTGGGAGTATCAACATACTCTCATCCATAGATGATGTGGGTGGTACAAACTTCCCAAAAAATGGAGATGGTTGCTTCGCCACCAAACTGGGTAGCCTGATCCAGACCCGTGGTAAGGTTTTTAGGAACAAGTACCTGCATAAACAAAATCACTGCGAACTCACGAAGCTGTTTCACCAAGAGACAAGCACATAATATGTTGGAGATGGATTTGAATCAGCAGTCTTTGGATTCATCCGTTGCAACTATGGTTGGTCAACATCCCAAATCCATCCCAAAGTTCGTATGAAATTTAATATATGGGCCAATGCCGGATGAAATCCTCTGGCGGGATGAATAATTCACATAAATCAACATGTCATATTTAAACGTATTTAAACTAACATGTATATAACTACATGATTATGTTATACTTATTTTTTAAAGTAATTTAACAGGACTAAATGTGTTACAGGATTAATTGTGTTACAGGACTAACTTTAAATATATTTTATGTAATAATTACATATATTTAAGTAATATAAGTTTAATCAACATGTCGTATTTAAACCTATTTATATAACATGATTCTGTTGGTAATTAAGTGATCTAACATATAAAACATATTTAAGTAATTTAACATGACAATATATATATATATAAATTACTTAAAATGTCCTGTAGATTTTCCCAACCCAATGACCTCATGGATGCTTCGGTTGGACTCCACCCAGGTGCTGGCGGCGCGCATCGCCTTCGGGGCAACTACCGGAAACCTCAGCGACTTCGTTCAAAGGCGGATGGGAGTGGTTTTTCTTTGGATTTAGCTCTGAAACTTGTGATTTAATCATCAAACCTAGTGATTGTTAACATGATTCAACCATCAAACACATGGTGATTCAACCATTACGAATTGAGATCTAAGAATTGAACAGCGTCCAAAACCCCCAAAGAATAGTTTCAAGGGGCGTTCAACTTAAAGTGACAGTCTCCGCGGAAGCCAAGACCATAGTGGCGAAAGGTTCGCCAAGGATTCTGCAAAGAACTGAACTCCACAAAAGGAAAAGCAAGATGTCAATTCACCAATCGACGAAAACTCCGAGAAAGTGAATTTCAACATAGATATCATAGATCCCGCGAAAGTGAAAACACACACCGCAAAATTAAGTATGACAGTTTCGGGAATTGCTGAATGAAACTTTGTGTTTGAACTTACTCAACCGTTGTGATGTGATGTGATATGAATGCATATTGAATGGGGTTATAATAGGATATCACCAAATTTTATGTTAATGGGGACACTGAACCAGCAAACATTGGGGGATACGTGAGGATATCTGGTTGATGTGGAAGTTGCTGGAGGGATTCATTCCGAAATAGGTTTACTATGGTTTGCACATCTGATTTTGGTGTTTTTATTGCTGGTGTCCATGTGAAAAAATGTCCCTCCATGAAACTGCGGGATTTAAACACTGTAAATGAAGTAAGCAGATCGATTGGACCTGGGAACAAGAGCACATTTGACCAACACAAAATTAACATAAACTAACAAGATTTAACAAGTAATGGGGATTTGACCAACTGAAATGTTGTTTCAGCTTATTTTAGCCACATTCATTCTATTATATTAACCAATGTTCCTACAATGATGGACTCTTCCTCATTCCATATTTGTTCGCCTTGCTTCCATCGGGTTTCATAGGTGGCATACGGCCGCCCGCGCTGCACGTCACGCCCGAGCAAAGGAGGTGCTGTGTCACGTGGGGACATGGGGAGACAGGGGAACACCCCAGAGTCTGGGACCCAGAGGTATACCTAATATATTGTTTAACCATCAACCGTTATTAACCATATTTAACCTACGTATATTTCCCCACAAAGAGGAACAATCTAGTTATTTTTTCGATTAATAGTTCAATGAAAGCTCAATGGGATCGGGTTTAATGCAGTTTTTGTTAGTAAGGTTTGTTATCCAAAGAAAATGATCCATGAAACAAACATTCTAGATGCTCCATCGGTGGGATATTCACCTACATGAGGGGATCACTTCTGGCAGCGTTGGCAAGTATATGCGACACATGGAGCATTCAAGGGTATATTCAAGGGACTCACATACGAAAATATGATGTGTCACATCGTTTGACCTGATTGCTGGTCGATAATTGTTTTCCACCTGGAAAATAGCTGTAGATTCCATACCACTCATTGGACATGTTTGTGTAGTAAAGTATCTCTGTATCCGTAAAAGGTTGAAATTAATGATCCCGCAAAGTCACCGTACAGTGCAGTACGTCCTGCTGTGTTTCTTGGAGGTGTCTTGCAAGTGTTCATCCATACAACGTTTTCTGCAGATAGCAAGCGGTTTCGATGGGTTGTGCCCTCGATAAGGCATAGTGTTTTTCTTGTTTGACGGAATACCGACGAATCATGGAACGTGTTCCTAATCAGAATCCCTTTGTGGACTGACTTGATGAAATAGACAACAAAAAAAAGATCAGTGGACCAGGTGTCCTTGATGATTCTTGATGATTGTTCCATGTTTGACATTTAGGAGCTACTGGGGACACCCCATCTGGGATTATCCAAAAATGCTGGTTGCCCCAAATGGATTTCTTTTTTGGTATATAAGATCTGAAAAAAACAATCCCCATATGCCCATTAATTAATCTGATGATCAACCAAAAGTGTTGATAAGCGACTCAATTAGTCGGTGTGTCCAAAATGTGGAGCTACCCGTAAAGAATTATATATGGCCATTTGAATTTGAGATTGAGCAAAATTATGATCAGCGATCCCATACAAATTAGGCTTCAGGCTTGTATCTGGTGGTTTTGCGAAGATCCTTCGGCTCAGGCCCGCCTTTCGTAGGGCTGTCATGTATGAAATTTCTATAAATTTCTGATGATGTCTGCTGCACAACATGGCTATGTGCATCCATCCTCTACTGACCAAGGTGCAACAGATGAAACTGATGAGGTCAATCTTCAGGTGCTGTGCTTGACTGGAGAAGGAGTGCCCTTAAGCGTCCCTCGCTCCATGCTTGGGTATGACATGCGCAAATTGGTGTCAGAGAAGCTTCCATGCAAGCCAGGCGCAAAGCTCGCCGTGCATCACATGAATCGAACGCTAACCTTTGATCAAACCTTGGGAGAGCAAGGGATTGCTGTCAAATCGGCAATGCTGTCCTGCACTTACATACCAACGAATGTGTACACTGCGTGGAGTTATGTCTGTGGCCTCCCAACCTGTGAGAGAGATTTTGTGCTAGAAGGCGTTACACGACTTGAGGGCGCCATGCTTGGAGAGTATTTACATCATCTCCCCGGCAGCCTCGCAAGCTTGAGTTTTGGCGATGACTTTAACACAAGCCTGGAGCGGGTGACCTTGCCATCAAGTCTCCAAAGCTTGAAGTTTGGCAATAATTTCAACCAAAGCCTGGAGCGGGTGACCTTGCCATCAAGCCTTCAAACCTTGAGTTTTGGCATTATGTTCAACCAAAGCCTGGAGCGCGTGACCCTGCCATCGAGTCTTCAAAGTTTGACGTTTGGCTGTGGGTTCAATCAAAGCCTGGAGAGGGTGACCTTGCCATCGAATCTTCAAAGCTTGAGTTTTGGCGATAATTTCAATCAAAGCCTGGAAAGGGTGGCCTTGCCATCAAATCTTCAAAGCTTGATTTTTGGCAATATGTACAATCAAAGCCTGGAGCGGGTGACCCTGCCATCGAGTCCTCAAAGTCTGACTTTTGGCTGTGGGTTTAACCAGAGCCTGGAGAAGGTTTCCTTGCCATCAAGTCTCCAAAGCTTGAATTTTGGCGATAATTTCAACCAAAGCCTGGAGCGGGTGACCTTGCCATCGAATCTTCAAAGCTTGAGTTTTGGCAATATGTTCAATCAAAGCCTGGAGCGGGTGACCTTGCCATCAAGTCTTCAAAGCTTGAGTTTTGGAGATGGGTTCAACCAAAGCCTGGAGCAGGTGACCTTGCCATTGAGTCTTCAATGTTTGAGGTTTGGCACTGACTTTAACAAAAGCCTGGAGCGGGTGACCTTGCCATCGAGTCTTCAAAACTTGGCTTTTGGCAAAAAAATCAACCGAAGCCTGAAGCGGGTGACCCTACCATCGAGTCTTCAAAGTTTGACTTTTGGCCGTGAGTTCAACCAAAGTCTGGAGCGGGTGACCTTGCCGTCAAGTCTTCAAAGTTTACGTTTTGGATGGCTATACAACCAAAGCCTGGAGGGAGTCATATTGCCATCCAGTCTTCAAAATTTGGCTTTTGGCTTTGTGTTCAATCAAAGCCTGGAGCGGGTGGCCTTGCCATCGAATCTTCAAACCTTGAGTTTTGGCAATATGTTCAATCAAAGCCTGGAGCGGGTGACCTTGCCATCAAGTCTCCAAAGCTTGAATTTTGGCCATAATTTCAACCAAAGCCTGGAGCGGGTGACCTTGCCATCAAGCCTTCAAACCTTGAGTTTTGACACTATGTTCAACCAAAGCCTGGAGCGGGTGACCCTGCCATCGAGTCTTCAAAGTTTGACGTTTGGCTGTGGGTTCAATCAAAGCCTGGAGAGGGTGACCTTGCCATCGAATCTTCAAAGCTTGAGTTTTGGCCATATGTTCAATCAAAGCCTGGAGCGGGTGACCTTGCCATCAAGCCTTCAAACCTTGAGTTTTGGCGATGTGTTCAATCAAAGCCTGGAGCGGGTGACCCTGCCATCGAGTCTTCAAAGTCTGACTTTTGGCTGTGGGTTTAACCAAAGCCTGGAGAAGGTGTCCTTGCCATCAAGTCTCCAAAGCTTCAGTGCTGGCTTTTTATCACGCAGGGTTTTTGTTAGTTCAGCAGGTTGTGCTTCGTTTGATTGATGGAGATATTTATTTCTAAGGGAAAAGGTGTGTGTTCACAGGGATACCGTATGGTTCTTGCATGCTAGGGGCAACCTGAACGGGTTTTCCTTGAGCAGTCAGTCGGTGAACACCCTCCATTTTTGCAGTGAAAACGTGGAACCGTATTTAATTATCGGATTAATTTTATTATATATATTTGATATTCGGACTCTTTTTGGGTGTACCATTGTTACTCATAATATTAAATCATATGCTATCATATTGTATGCACATGCTATTGCGCTGGAATGTTGATTCATCAGGCCTGGTCCTTCTTTTCAGATCAGGGAGACTTGATATACAACCCGTTGCAGATGGTCAAGGGCATTGTTTTCACCTGTCTTGTTGCTGATCTTATGAGTTGACCCTCGTTTGTTGTTTTTTGTTCCACTGGATGACTGAAAAAAAGGGCGAACATAGCATACCCAAAAAAATTCTGACGAAACATTACCTCATCCAAGCTTTGATTATTTCTGGTGAATTTTCATGAAAATTCATGAACATTCTTTTTATATTAATGAGGAATACAGATGAGTGTGGGGGTACACTATTGTGTCCACAGACTCCAAAATAATTGTGAACCTTTGGAAATGATGGAGGGGTACAGTATTGTGTCCACAGGATTTTGGGGTAAGTTTTTTGAGTTTTCTTTAGATTGTTTTTAAAAAATTTGTTTTATATCATTGATAATTTTGATAATTACATTGTTTTTTTTAATATTATTTTTGTATATTCAATTTTTCGATTTTTAATTTAACAATTAAATTTTAAACATTACATTTTTTTTTAATATATATATATATATATATTAATTTAGCAATTTAAACATTATATTTTTAAAATATACATTCAATTTATAATTTAACAATTTAAACATTGTATTTTTCATAATATAATCAATATATTTATAATTGATCCTAAGTTGTAGGGGGTTGGGTTCATTATTGTGTCAGGGTTCACTATTGTGTCTTGTGTCAGCTTGTTCCTTTTTCTTGTTTTCAAACATTTTAAAGCTTTTTTCTTTTACTTTCTTAGTTTTTTCACTTGATCATTTGAAATTTCCAAATGTCCTTCCACAGAAAATTATAACCTGATCCACAATAGTATCTGCACAAATTATAGCGAGGACAGCCGAGGCAACGAGGCAGGTTGCAGGAATTAGCGAGGTCAGCCCTTAATTTGCTCATCAGAATTAGCCGACCTCGACGAGGTAGCCTTGCATTGGTTCTGTTGCATGCTTGGGCTTGGCTAGAAAAACTTTTTTGGGGGCCAGAGGCCGGTCAGCAGGCAAGGAAGGAAAAACAACTTTTCAGGCCCCAAAAAGTTTTATTTTCTATCGCCAGAGGCCGGTCAGCAGGCAAGGAAGGAAAAAAACTTTTCAGGCCCCAAAAAGTTTTATTTTCTATCGCTAGAGGCCGGTCAGCGGGCAAGGAAGGAAAAAAAACTTTTCAGACCCCAAAAAGTTTTATTTTCTATCGCCAGAGGCCGGTCAGCAGGCAAGGAAGAAAAACAACTTTTCAGGCCCCAAAAAGTGTTATTTTCTATCGCCAGAGGCCGGTCAGCAGGCAAGGAAGGAAAAAAAACTTTTCAGGCCCCAAAAAGGTTATTTTCTATCGCCAGAGGCCGGTCAGCAGGCAAGGAAGGAAAAACAACTTTTCAGGCCCCAAAAAGTGTTATTTTCTATCGCCAGAGGCCGGTCAGCAGGCAAGGAAGGAAAAACAACTTTTCAGGCCCCAAAAAGTGTTATTTTCTATCGCCAGAGGCCGGTCAGCAGGCAAGGAAGGAAAAAAAACTTTTCAGGCCCCAAAAAGTTTTATTTTCTATCGCCAGAGGTGAGTCAGCAGGCAAGGAAGGAAAAAACTTTTCAGGC